TTTGAACCCAGCGACCTGAGTGATATTTTGGATGGGATCTGGGCCACTCCATCAACCTGTACCCCACCAGCATTTGAAGTATGGTCACGTGACTCCAGTGACCGAGATGTCTTGGGGGAGATCTTCATCCCAGCAGTTGATCGGTAAGGGTCTGAAACTTATTTTATTATCTCTATTGTATAATTACGCTTCAGACTGAGACTGACATAGATTACAATCTTAGCGCAGAAGATTGGTTCAGACCACCCTTCAGTATAAATGGATATACCACGATTAAGTCAATCGACAGGTCTGTGCATGGTGGGATAAAGTGTGGGTGCACCCACCTCTTCCAATAACACCTGGCCAGCGTTGAAGCGTAGGCCAGCATCTCTCTGGAGTTCCCTATATGTGGAGACGCATCTGCCAGCAATGGTGTGAGCAAGAAGTTTCAGTGTTGCACATTTACCTTTTCTACGTGAATTATGATGAGGTTGCCTTGAGCTATCTGCCCAAAAGCAGATTCCTGTCCTGTGACAGTGTAACATTGGGCGAATGTAGCACAATAAGCTACACACGCAACATGGGAAACAAAATGGAATGAGAAACAATAGCGATAAGAAACAATACAATCGAGATGGTGAATACGAGATGAAAGGCAATCGTTTCTTTGCATAAAAAAAAATCACCTTTGAATTTGGAGACTTTGTCAAATCATTGGTGCAGGGGGGGGGGTCATTCCTTGCTTGTTAAAATAATACAGAATGCTTGGGCAGTGTTGATAAGGGAATAATTGAGTGTTGATATCGAAATTGTATTATCTCACTTAATAATGAGACTCACACCGGCTCTAGTATGTTTTAAACTCTTGAGCTTCGAACATCAATGCACTTCTTCCATCCTGATTGTGTTAGGTTTGGTTACATTTGCTAACGTCACTTCTTCAAAACTTGACTGCTCTGCTTGAGTTTTTTTTCTCTTTCATTATAAGTGTTCACATTTTTACATTATACGCTCCTTAAGACTGAACAAAACTGATGTGCTAACATTCGTCGGGATCTGTTCATTATGCATTCTCATTTTTCTCAGCTGGAGCTGCCAGTTTACCAGCTCAAACGGCGTGCCCGGTTTGTGTGATGGCACGTGGAATAATGTTGTTAATCTACTTCCAAATAGCGTGGATGTACATATATAGCCATGACAGAGAGAAATCATCCGTCAGGAAATCAAAACATTAACCACGCGTGCAGGTGCTGTATTTTACGACTCCCGAAAAAATTCGTGACAAGAGACTTCGAGATTTTCCATTGAAATTTCAGGCCAAAAAAGAAATACCAAACAGGTAAGATGTGCGTTTTCTTTCTCTTCACAAAGGTATGACGAGTTTTTATTTCACGCCATAGTCGCTCTGCCTTGAGTTTAGTTTTACATTTGTTTGAAATGGCATAAAAAAATATTTCCTGACATTTCCAGGCATTTCAAAAGAGGCATCAGTAAATGCCATCAGGTGATTAAAGACTGTCACAAAATGTGGCCCCCGCTTTCATAACGGTGTGCGACATGGAATCCATTTCAGGACATCATCGGGAAGGAGCAGTGCCGGATTAAGCTAGTGCGGGGCCTGCAGAATGTTACAAAGGGGCCCTAAATAAAAAAAAACACACAAACAAATATTAAAACACACATTTTTAACTTGCGTTGGAAAGTAATTGTATTTTTTCACTTGCTATACTCCAGATAATACGACAAATCGCTAACCTTAAACACACAATCGTTCATAAAAGTTGAAGGCAGTATAGTACTATAGGAATAGAGTAAGTGCAGAATCACTGAACCGTGGGGCCCTTAAAAGTGCGGGGCCCGTAGCATATGTAGCTACTTTTGCTACTAGGAAAATACGGCACTGGGAAGGAGTTCAGGAGTCCCCATCAGTGGAAGCAAGGCATGAAAATGTAAAGGCATAACAAGCCCTCGCGAAACAGGTACCTCAATGTAAATATCTCTCCAAGCTGCTTTCAGTACAAATTAATCTAGATGAACCCTGTCTCTCTTTTTTGTTTTGTTACGGCTTGGTTTGCACCCACACTCATGACATCGGGAACGAGTCAAATGATGAAAGGTGCGAGGATATCAACATCAAACTCGAATGTGAGAAATGGCAATAGAAACTGGTGGCAAGTCCTACGATATTGAATTAACCCTTTTTGTACAAAACCCATTGCCTTCTAATATTTTCAATTTTGCAGGCCTGCGGTGCCTGCAGTGTCGTTTCAAAATGAATAATGGTGCAGTAATTTAAACAAGGCACTCTTGTATTTAAAATCTGCCTGGCAGGAAAAGAGTGTAGTGGGGTTGGAGGGATGGGGTGGGGGCTAGGGGAGAAAGTCATAAGTGACATTATGAAGGAAAATATTTATTGTTTCAACAATCCAAACTAGCCTCAATACATCTTTTTGACAGATGACGCAAAAACGAAATCACTTCTGAACAAATAGTTTTCAAGCCGAAGGCAATGGTGCAATTTATTTAAACAAAATGTAACAGTGCTCATTCCACAGACCAGTCAATGGCAACACCTTCCTTGCCAACGACAAATATAATACACACCCTGTGGTCGCGAAGGCACTACAATTAGTACAAAATAAATATGTAAACTGGAACGCGCAAAATGTAAAGATGGACCATAACAATGAATTACCACGTTACATTCGGAACAAACCGGAAAACCTTATACTGTATATATAAAACTGCTATCACGTTGTGTCCAGATCAATAATGAAATTGCTTTCTTATTGTGTAGAAGGAAACAAATAGGCGAGAATTGCGGTCTCGCCAATTACAACACGAGTAGCTGTTGAACGCGTTCCAGCAGAGAAGGCTACTTTATTAATGCATGGGCAAATTATAATGCTCAGCCCCTTAAGAAATGCAAATCATCTCAATGACGCGTTTCATAGATGAACAGTCATTACGCAGTGTTGACATGCGGAATAAAATTATTTAGATGTGACTGTAGTTAAATTGGGAGTGCATGTGGAAGACATGGAGCTGACCTTTCAAGCAATGATCCACATTGCAAATAAATCTCACGGAATTTCAGCATGCGAAAACATGTTTTCGCATGCGTAAATTTCCCACTTTTTAATTTTGTACATGAATGTCTGCAAGCAGATGGAGAATGCTTTAATATTTATTGAAATCTTTATACATTTTCCAGACTACCAGGACAGAACCACTTCATGCAAATGACAGCGCAAGAAAATAACCTTTGTTCCTGTATTCAATTTCACAGGTATGTGTTAAGGCCTTGTTTACAGATTTTGCGTGCGGTACGTTTTATATGCATCCTGTTGAAAGCTTCAGTCGATTCCTCTGAATATGATGAATGTCCTCTCGTATAAGCAAATGTCCTTTACTCATTGTATCACAGATGGGGGGCGTTGGTTTAAGAGTATTATTATCGGTGTACCATAATGGAAGTATTATGATTATTCATATGGGATTACCAAATGTTATATTTTAAATATAATATTTACGTACGGCCCTTATTCACTGAACACAGGAATTTGTATATGGCTTTTCACAGAAGGCTCTGGCTATGAGGGTGATGAAAATAAAAAAATGCCAACAAAGTAATTTCCCCTTAACTCGAGTCGCACAAAACGAGAACCTTGCAGAAACTTTGCCAAAGCCTGCCTATCATCTCAGGTGTGTTGCGTATGTTTAATGGGGTGTTACAAACGCTTACCTAACCACCTGTGTGTTCACAAGCTTGCTAAGACAATAATAGCAAGAGCTGCTAGCTCGCCAATGCGGCAACTTGCATTTCGCTGTTTAGACAAAAGATGAGAAAGCCCACCTGCCCGTGAACGCACGGTGCTATTGGATTCCCTGAGATTATTTATACACAATGGTAGGCAGTGACAAAGTCCCCTGGCTCACTTCACACTAACATGTGGTACAGTGCATTGTACACGCACGGTTACGCGCTTTTCCACAACTTACGTAAACACCTCGCCGCAGCAGAAACCGTGTGGGCTCCTGAGCATGGCGATTCAAATAAATCAACCACGAGGTTTGCACGATTAATGCTTCCTTAGCAGGGTCCGTAATCAAGAATATGGCAGCAGCTTGAGTTCTGTCAATTTAAAACCAGACGTGTTTACTGACAATCCATACCCGGAGTACGCACACAGATATAGTTTTACAGGCGATGCATTCCATACAATTTGCAATGCGCCATTGAAATGTGTGGTTCCTTTAATGCATTTTAATCCATTATTCAACACTGACAAACCCACAAAGTAATTCCCTGTCTTGAAAGGATGCAACTTTTGTTATCCAAACCACTATGGGCTCCCACGATACGATTCGTACACGTTGCATCCAATAGTGACTAATGTTGGAACAAAACCAGAAAAAATTATGATCATCTGTACACGATGAGAACATTAAATTAGAAATGTTTCACAGTTGGGGAGGACATTGCCGAATTGTGGCGCAATTCACCAGGGTAGTCTACTTAATCATTGTAGAAGATGGCAAATGTCACATTTGTCACCCGTAAAATAATTGTGAATGGTTGCAGCAAGCTCAAGGAACCCAATCTGGATACGTTATTACATTCACTGAATGCACAGGTAGGAGGCCAACCGCTGCCATACCCCATTCGAGATCATTCACATTCAGTAGCACCTTTTTAAAATGTGCACCATCTAAAGTGCCAAAGAAGGTCGGTGCTCTTCCTTGCCAATATTTACAGCAAGTCGGGGGGGGGGTTGTTACTGCCGCTAACCCTGAGCCAAAGTCCTCGCGGCCCGGCTTCTGGGTGCGTTTGCACAGCGTCTCCATCTAGAGGTGAAACAGCAGCCACACCTTTTGCAAATAAATCTTTGTCTTGGATTTATCCAAAAAACGATAGCCACAGACCACACCGCGCACGCAACAATAATATTACTACGTACAAAAAATACTAATAAATTAGGACTGTTTGAAAGTCCATCACCTTTAAAGGTGCCGTCACCAGAAACACATTTGAAAATCAAGGTAACATATAAACACTGCAAGTACAAAGAAAATATTACTCTTAAATGTCATATTTTTTCAACTAAGTTTTTTTTTTATTAATCATTTATGAAATAATTTGTATACAAAGAAAAACAAATACAGCAACAAACCTATTCTTAAACCAGTAAATGTGACTACTTTTCATCACAGAAATATTTGTGCACACAAAGGGCTGCACACTTGTGTTCATCAATACACGTGGCACTAGGCCTCAGGATGAACTAGATAATTGTCGAGTTCTCCACGTGCATCACGCGCGCTCCAAATCCGGAGTTATGACGCTGCCTCAGTGTCCAACCGACTCCTCCTCTTGCTGGGGCTGTCAGAGTACTCTGTGTTATCGAAGGGCAGGTGGTGAATCCTCAGGACATGCTTTTTGAGGTTCACCCTCTGCGTTGCTCCGTATGGGCAGTAACTGCACCGAAAGGACTTCTCGCCTGGAACACAAGGCGTCCGCCACTGAGCACACCAACGCAATTCCATCATTTATCTCTCACCACGTTGTCTCTACACATATATATCGAGATGTTTGCAGACCCCAGGCCCAAAAAGGCTCAAAATACCAAGTGGCCAGCAACAAACAACATAAAAACGATATAAAAAATTCTGAAAAATACCAAAGGTACTTAAGTGTTGGACTGAATTTGAAGCCCCCATCATTATGCACTCCTGCTTCTTCTTCTGATGGCTGTGCAACTATAATCTTACTATGAGGTGGTGGAGCCACATCATCCGCATACATGCAATGAATTATGGCCTAATGACCTGTCATAGAACGAGTACATGTGGGTGCAAGTTATGCTTTAGTACACTGAAAAGGAAAGAACAGTGATACAAATTAGTTGGTCCTCACATTTAACAACATATTCGCAGAACTAACCGACTTGTTGGAATTAAATAATACTCAATCTTGATTTGAAGCTTTCATGACTGCAGGAATCCATCTTCAGGTGGGAGTGAGAACTTCACTCCCACCTGAATACGGTTGCTTGTGTGGCGATCGAAACGTCATGATCTATTATTATTTTTGTACCTACGTGACTTTACCGAAAGAACCAAAGAGTATAATACTCATCATCAATTTACTCATCATCAGGGAAAACCTATTCTCATAATACTCATCAGTTAATATTATTTTCTACTCCAACACAGAGATTGCTACTAGGGACACTTTAACATCAATAGTGATTCACCCCTATCTGAGAGTTACGTTTCCGATACTAATAACTCTAATGAAAGTAAATGCATTGTTACTTTAAGGAATACAGGATGGAAGGCCTGCCCCACATGGTGCGAGCCATGTGTGGGGTTTCTTGGACATACTTCACCACGCTGGTCAGTGAGGGTTAGTGGGGGGGGGGTCAAGGACTGTGTCAGATTTCGCCCCAACTGGACATCTGTGAAAAAGATCTTTATCGCTCGTCGGATTCCTCAAGTATAAAATAAATATTCTGATTCACTCCACCCATGTTAGCAATGAGCGGGAATCCCGACTCAGGTCGCCAGGTACACAATGCAGCGGGCTAAACCACAGCACCACATGGAATTACAAGTGAGTGACAGTTAAAAAGTTTGCCCTATAAATGCAGCCTCCTATTAAATGTCCACGTTGATGCTCAGACTGTGAGCTGCTTCCAGAATACACAGCATTTTAATGTTGCTTTCATGCTATTTGGCCAAGAGCACAACAATGAGTTTCTTTTTTTTTCTATTTTGGAACATTCCATTCAGTCATGAGCAGGAATGTGCGAGTTGTCCGTCTCGAGTGTAACTCATCACTGAACATTGCTCCATTCGGCCGCTAAGGCTTTGCCTTCATTCATCACATAATTGTAACTGATATTCCAAAGCCCGTAACAATGCGGCGGTAGGAAGAGGAATTGTCTCATGGTAAATCAATCTTTAGCATGGCGACGTTAAAATATTATTTAAGTCAAATCTACTTTATATCACACTCGTTTCATTGAAATCAAGCTCGCGGAAAAACACGACATCTGAAGGCATGCGCAACTGGATACGGGAAGAACATTTCGATGAGGGTTTCAATTTGCAAAGAGCATTGTGCGTATATCAAGAGTGAAAGAGGTGAGGGCGTGGTGAGGTGAGGGAAGTGAATCTGCCAGTTAATCAGAGGCTACATTCAAATGCGAGTCCCAGGGGTTAGAGGAGGTTAAAAAATGTAGGTTCATTCGTTCGGTGCTTTATGGAGCCAATTGAGAAGAATTTGTTTAAATTACTTTAACTTTATGCTGCCATGGTGTGATGGTTAGCATAGTGGACTTGCAATCCAGAGGTCGCTGCTTTGATCTCCCGGTATGGCAATTGAGATGGGATAGCTTCTTAAATCCTGACTTCCCAGACCCTCCCCACCCCTCCTAGCTTCTCTTTACCCAGCAGTATAAATTGGTATACCAGCTAGTCGTTCGGTAGTTCACATATGGTGAGTGATGCGAGCAAGCAATTTCAGGGCTACAACTCGACCCTTACACAACCTGTAACTTTATATTTGTCTCGATGCAGACTTTCAGATACAAAAAAGCCACGATATTAAAGCACATTTTCCCCATTGCGGTAGTGTCCTGAGTGGCCCAAACTTTTCAATTTGGGCTGTGCCTGAGGAGCGCTATTTTGGCTCTGTCCGCCGAGTGGACCAGCAAGTGCTTTTCAGCAAGGCCCGCACAGCCAGGACGTGTGACTGGCGCCAAAACAAGCAAAAGGCTGAGCCACAAATCACTGTCTCCAATTTCCTTCCTGTTCAGGACACCCTGGTCGCTGCAGCAGCTGCTGCATTTGAACCAGGTCACACACTGCCAGGACCTATCACACCCACTCTACCTGGGAGGCAGGGTTGTGTGTGTGGGTAATGTTTTCAGAAACGCACACAAACACACCCTTTCTTGCTCCTCAGTCATGTCCGTCAATGTCGCTGACCCTCTTTATGCATTAAAACTAACATTAACATATAATTCTAGATTTGAAGCTTTCGTGACTGCAAGGATTCATACTCTTTGTTTTTTTCGGTAAAGTCACGTAGGTAAAATAAAACAATTAAATCACGACGTTTCGGAGGCAACACAAGCTTCCGTCTTCAGGTGGAGATTGCTTGATGCAGCGATCTTGCTCTGACTGTTCCACCTGAAGACGGAAGCTTGTGTTGCCTCCGAAACGTCGTGATTTAATTGTTTTATTGTATTTTACCTACGTGACTTTACCGAAAAAAACAAAGAGTATTAACATATAAACATTAAAAGTTCTGCTACGTGTCTAATGTCGTAAGTACCCAACTTAAGATAGGTAATTTGGCCAAATGATTACAAAGCGTGCGGTTACATGTGTACCGTTACCTACTTTATTTACATGTGTTATGCATTCAACGAGGACATAAATATACAGGGGCTTTTCATACTTTGTGTCAACACATCAGCTCAAAATCCCATTTCCTGTTTAAAAAAAAAAGGTCCCGCTCCGCTCCGATGTGTCTGCTCAGTTCTGGAAAATCTGACATTTGGGATGAGGCGCTAATCCTGCCCTCACACAGCTTGGTGTGTGTCCAGACCGCCGGCGACGCCGCCCGCTTGACGCAGTGATGGCACGTAAAGCAGACGTTCCGCCAGGAATGCCAGGATGCCCCCACAACACAATCACCCACTCCTTAATCTCCAGTGCAGATCCCGCCTCCGCTCCCACCCCAAAATACACACACACACACACAAATACCCCCAGCCGCCCATAATACACACAAACACACACAATTCCCCCCACCCTGCTCCCATCCCATAATACACACAAACACACACAAATACCCCCAGCCGCCCATAATACACACAAACACACACAAATACCCCCAGCCGCCCATAATACACACAAACACACACAAAAATACCCCAGCTGCCCATAATAGACACAAACACACACAAATACCCCCACCCTGCTCCCATCCCATAATACACACACACATAAATACCCGCAGCCGCCCATAATACACACAAACACACACACAAAAATACCCCAGCTGCCCATAATAGACACAAACACACAAATACCCCCAGCCGCCCATTATACACACACACACACTTTTCCCCCCACCCCTCCAACCAGTCAAGCCCTCCCTACATTTCAGCCAACACTGTTACCCGGAGCCCGCATAGACGCCCTCTTTGAAAGTGCAGCTAAATTCCTTCACTTTACAAGTGGTCTGCGATGCGGTCATCCTCTGATTACATAACACTGTAACGGTGTTAAAGCGACTGCTTAAAGAGTAATGCTGCCTGGTAGTTGTGAATAATAGAGCATGTGGGCTTTGGAGGAGGATGCTCTGTTGTAGGGAGAAGTGGTGGGGGGTAGCTTTTGCAAAAGAAACCCCTATGGGTGTGTGTGTGTGCGTGCGTGTGTGGGCGCTCGCACACACACACACACGCGTGTGTTTAGAGACCCACTCCTGGGTTCAACTTGGTACCTGTCCAATCCAAAAACATTACAGACATAAGCCACTGTAAGCCGCATCTGCACAGATTAAAAGTGTTATTCCTGCCACTGCACACTCCATCACCATTAAAGTATAACATGCGAGTTTGAACTTCTGGAAGCTGGGGAGGATGCGGGGCGGGTTTGGTTACACCGGTATGTGCCGCTTGTCTCTTTTCTCCAACATTGCCAGGCACTTAAACGACTCTACTGCATGCGGCACCATTGAGTATTTACTTTTATGGTTCAATTTCACTGTAGATGAAGGCAAGATGTCTCAAACTGTGTGGGACATTGCAGTATCGTTTACGTCGTCCGAGGTGACTTTCGCTGCTATGTTTGCGAACCGCGCCCAAGTATTGTAATGCAACTCAATCGTGGGGGGGGCTCACTTGTCCGCGTGGTGACGTTAAAGATCCCATGCCGATATCTTCCCGTGGAAGGCCACGGTGTGCCAAAAATGTGGCCATATGAAGCTCAATTTATATTAAAAGTAATATATTCCCAGTGTATAAAAGGTTCCCCCTTAAGTGAAAGCTATACGATGGAGTATTCTTCATCTTAATGCATGAAATTTCATAAATATGTGATTAAATAAAATGTAAGCTATGATTACAAAGTGTTGTCCACGATTTTTAATGAGACATTCACATTTTTGTTTTGCCACGTTGCGAAAACGTGTTCGCTCTGGATCAGGCTGTACATTTTTAAGGCCATCAATATTGAGTTTACCGCTTGTGCACATTTTAACTATTAATTTGCTGTAATTATATGCCTGGTCACCCGAAACAGCTGACTTGGGGCTACAAAAACGCCTTACGGCAGCATTCAAGTAGCCGGCCCCTCTCTCTTGCCGCTCATCTCTCCATAAACACCCAGCGCTGATCCCTACCACTCTCTTTCATTGCAGCGGATATTTATCTAGCCCCAGGATGATTTATCTTACACGGAGAGGCATGAAATTTCGGCAAGGAATAATGGGTGACTCAGGGAAAATAAGTTTCATTTATCAACAACAATGCACTAATGTAAGTAATATTTCACAATTACAGCAGACACGAGTAGGGGAGGGGCAATCAATCTCTCTTACAGCCAGTGACTGCCACGTCGCCAGATAGCAGGCAGCGGGCCTGACTCCTGTGGGGACAGGAGGCGCTCTGAAAGCGGTCACATGACGCGCCCGGGTGCCGGCCACCGGTTAAGCAGCTGGGCCGCAAGACGGCACTTTCAAGCGCTGACGTCCACCCCCCCCCACTCTGCCCATTGGGCAAGATGCACGGCCCTAACTGTCCAGCAATGCGGTGGCAACTGTGGCTACATTATTTTATTCATGAAAGCGTTCCCCGCGTCCGGCAATTCGTATCGGCGGGGGGTGGCAGGGGGGGGAGGTGCAAATGCGCCAAAACGACGACGCTCTGTAAAGCGGATGTCCAGTGCCGGCATCTGTACAAATAGTTTAATCCGGTTTTGTTGAGACGTGCAGGGGGCGTAAAGCCTGTTTAGTGTTCACGTGCCAAAAGTAATGTGCGAGTTAAGCAGGTGAAAGTTAATCTGTGCTCAAAATTCTATTTCGTATTTTTTACACTGCAGTAATGCCTTTCTTTTTTAAAATAATGAAATTCACTGCAGCACGATTTGCTCTTCCCGTGCAACCACCTTATTATTGTTGCCAAAGTGATCAGGATCATTCTGTGCACTCGACCGCTTACATTACAAATACCGAGGTGCAGGGGCTCACCCCATTTTACATGAGGCATTTTCAATTTAAATTTCAATTTAATCTAAATGGGGCAGAACTTTATAAGTAAGGCAGGGTTAGAGCTAGGGTTGCTCGTGTTACAGACGAAATAAACCTTCTGTTTCAATGTCAAGTTACTGATCGTCGACAGCGAGAGGGCAAACAATCGCACGTATACACCCGCTGTATTTTAAGTGATGCATATCCACCGCTAGCCTCAGCTCCTTCCACAGCTACACCCACCCCACGTGCATTATAAAAGCAAGTGCTTAGCAATGTACTGCGCTAAAGCAAACAGGCAGGGCGGCTGACTGTGGTAACATCCTCCACACGGATGCAAAAAAAATATCGTCCAAAAGGGAGGGACGTGTTAAAAAAAATGGAATTCTTGTTTATGCGCATACAGTAGATTGTATAACGATAGTGTTAGCTCAGGAGTATGCTACGCTGACGGTATTCATAAACAAGTCATATCTGATGCGAGTGACCTTTTTTTTCAAGCTTTGTATAATGATACCATTGTCGATTATACATCCACGTCATCCTGCGCCCGTAATTTACCCTGGAAAATTATAAATAAGCTCTCGAGATTACCTTTTGCACTTAAAACAATAACGCATGATTTGTAAACATATGGTATTTGCCAGTAGGGTGAACTAAACAGTCACAACAATGAATTCTTGTTCATCGCATGCCTGAGTATACCGTGAGCTATACAGGAAAACTGTTGGAAAATATGTGGCCTATATAATGTAAATTAATTTAGCTGCCGATAACACAATCAAGTGACCCCCCATTTTTGTCTGTCCCTGAAGGCAACATAATAATTCAGTATGCAAGTAAATTTGGTTAGGCGTGTTACAAACATTGGCAAAAGTCCACTCTGCTCATTAAATTGAAAAGAAATGTTAATTTAAAAGTTAATAGTTACAAACCTCTCGTGACACACGAAAAAAGTTAAAACTATTCCAGGCAGTAAAGGTGTTAATTCAGTGTAGGGATCAACCAGTGCTCCTGAATGTCCAACTTTTCGACCAAAGAATGAAAATGTTTAATTAAAAGAACACGCTCACGCCATTTAATTACACCGCTGCGTATTACTATAGCAACCGTAAATGGACGACAGATAGGCTGTCGTCCATCCTCACATATATGATATGTGTTTTGTGTTTTTTTGTGCAAGGCCTTTTGAAAAGCCAAGACTCTACTATATCAACGAGAAGTATGTGACCATGTGCCATCACAAAGACCATTCTGTCAACTGTATGTTGCGTCTCCGTTGTTTTGCCGACACAATTTTATACAGACTACATTAAAAGCTCGGATGACGTATAAGTACTCCTGACAGATGGACTGGTAGACGTTGCAGACAGATATTTGGTGAGATAAAATTACAGACGGATAAGTCAAACAAGGATTAATGGCCAGTGGGGATAATATATAAGTTGAACAAATTTCACTGGACTTTATATTTTAACATGTAATAAAGGAGGTTAATGTAAATTCCATGAAGTAATAATCTACAGCCCTCTGTTCATCCACTGCTGATGGCCATCTCACACAGTGTTGGTCGTGGGGGTTGTTTGACCATACTTCACCATGCTCCCTCGAACGGGTTGATGAAGGATGGGCCGAAAGAAGCAGTTCAGATACCGCTCGTCACTTTGATGCGAACTGTCGGTCGGGAATTAAATATCAGGGTCGCCCGATTCCAAATGCAGTGCGCTAACCACTGCGCCGCCACTCCACCCAATGTTACGCGCATGTCATGACTGCTTTCAATCCACTAATCTCTTAAAACAAATGAACGTTCGTCTCCACAATGCACATTCAAGGAAATAGTTTCGCTCATAAACTACATATCTTAATTCGGAATAGCTTAATTTAGCTTCAAAGACCACAGTGTGAGGAGACCCAGTTTTATGGCATAGAAGTATCAGTTATAGGATTGCTCAAGGTGCCTCGGGGTCAAGTATAATTAACATCATTTTCACGAGCGTACAAAGGGTACTGTTCCGGTTCGCTGCCTTCCTACCAAGGTGTAAGCCGCCTTAAAAAAAAATGATGGAATGTGTTATTGTGCCATCGTTTAGTATTGACTCTGAAACGCGTACAGGACACATTATCCTTAGCACGCTCGTGAAGTGGAAAAAAAAAGACAATTACGAATGACCGCCACGGTGTTCGCGACCTGCTCCATGCGCTTTCGCACACGCGGCGCGTTGGAGGCTAACCTGAGTGACTGTAGGAATGCCGATGCAGCTGTTGGGCTTGGCCGAACGCCACGCCACACTCTCCACACCTGTGCCTCTTTGGCTTAGGTTTGGCCCACCTGATTCCTAGAAACAATGGCAAATGATGAGTGTATTTAGGGGTTAGTGCCAGGATTATACAACGGTGCTATATTTCACAGACGGGTAGGGTCTACCCATAGGGGGCGATGTTGCCATGTGAGTTTACAATTTACTAATTTGCAAGTGGCTGTAACGAATTTCGCATAAAATATGTATTGCTCAGTTTTAATCGAAGAGTGCTATTTGCGTCATGCTATGAGTCGAAGTATCCACGTGGAACTCATGCAGAGCATTTCACCACGCTGTGAAGAGTAGTGCTCGTGGAAGAAGATATCATAGCACTGTTTCTGAAATCCCTGTGACCTTTCTATCCACTAGGGGGCATTGCACTTGAGAAGCCGGTTTAAATCATGGCCAGGTGGCTGAAATCCAGTTTAACCAAGGATCATTGCAGTTCCAGATCAGTTACATTGACCCTCTGAGCCACACAAGTCACCCATTGTAAGTATAAAATGTAGACGTTTTCAACAGTACGTACATGACTGCATTTGTGAAGGTATCCATTAAGTGCAGATAAAATGTATACAATGTATAAATGTAACGTGTGGGCATACTCGGACGTACTCAAAGGTGCCAGGTTCGGTTCATATGTCTTGGGGAGGCTCTGCTCCACACGGCACCAGCCTCTCGCTTCCGTGCAGTCCATTCTCTTGACGTCCGAAATCTGGCTGCTGCTGCAACTGCTTATGCTGCTATCGCTACAGCTCATGCTGTGGTCCGAGATATCTTTCATCTGTCCAACAGCAGAGTTCCAAGGCATGCATAGCTCTTTGCGCAGCGCTGATACGGCATCGTTTTCTCGCATCGCAGTTTTCGCACTGTCGGAATCACTTGTAGTAAAGGACGGATGAACTGTGTCCTCGATATGCAACTCCAGGCTCTCCCAGACGTCTCGGAGTACTTGCAGTGAAGTATCCACATTTTCCATTGGTTCTTGCTTAATGTACATTTGAGTCTCTGGCAAAACCGGACCTGGCTCCAACATGCTAGCATTACATTCAACTGGGTTTTCCAATTTGATGTGCTCTATTATTTGCTTTGCTACCACATCTATTCCAAAGTAATTTCTGTCTACCTCGAGCGCTTGCTGGAAGTCAATCAGCTGCACAAGGTCATTTTTTACATTTTTGTCTTCCATCTCAAATGCCAAATCTGTTTTTAAAAGATGCGTCTCGTGAAGACTCGCGGACGCTTGCACGGAGCTTGCTATTGCCTGGCATGTTTTGCTTTGTCCACAGCGTTGCGCATATGGTTGAGCACGAGTTGAAAGATCCATTGGAGAATGTTGGATATACTTGGGTTCCATGTGATACAAAGGAAACTCAGTATTTTCACTGTAGTGACCTGTACGAGTGAAGAATGGCTCGTGTAATTCATTGTATTTGCTAGAAACATTATTGGATGTAGTTTGAATTGTTCCTAGTCTGCACTCCGAGCTCTCGTTCTTTGGAGTAATATCGGGGGGTCTGCTTGACATATGAGATTCAGATTGGGAGAGCTGACATTCGTGTGTTCGCACAACTGCAGGCTTCCTTTGTTCAATGAGTGTACTGGCGCGTTGCATCAAGGACTTAACGGACAAATCCAGAGGTTCAAACTGGTCATGTTCTGCTATATTGCTCTTTGTAGCATCAGCGGATTTGGCAGCATCTGTTCTCCAAGTGGTCACGCATTGATCCGAGCGACTATTGGACGTGCAGTAAAACCCAGACTGCTCATTACTCGTTAAACTCATTTGGCTCAATTCCCCTGTGGCTCTGTTGAAAGATGTTAAACAGCCCTCTGGTCCATTGGCCTTTGTGTGACCTGAAGGATGAACCTGCATCAAGGCGCTTTTGCCAACAGACAGGGTTGAGCTATCAGTGTCAAACGTCAAGTAATTGCCCATGGGTACAGAAGTCATATTGGCCAAACAAGAGTTGATATTATCTTTCATATGGATGCTTGATTGCCGCAGTGCCGCTGCATTGGTAGGGATGTTCAATGTAATATTTTGCAAGGGTTTGGTCTCAACAGCTTGTCCAATAGCCAACTGCATCGTCACTGACTTTTTAGCTGGAAAAACAAAAAGAGAAAATTAATAGAGTGATATTTTACCATTCATACTTGAGCACGATCTTATTTTCATTGGCCTAAGAGAGAAAATATATATTATTAAACATTACATTTGACTGTGGCGAATTACATGACTTAAAATTCATTTACAGATACACATTTGTAACTTGGAACATTTTTTTTCAAATTTTACAATATATAAGTTTGCATATCCTTTACCTGCAATGTTGAAAGGCAACAATTCCATGTATTATCAAACCAAATTAATACAACACTTATGGCATGGCAAAAACTGATTTAATAAAACAGAGCATTTTCAACAATGTTATTTTTAAAATGCCATATTAAATTTGAAGTAAAGTTGGTATATGCCATTACAAATAGCACTACGATATCCAATGTGAGAAAGTTTCTAATTTTTCAAAAAAAAAATTCCCAAATGTATAACAAAATCGTGCACACCTGCTGGAGAGATACTCTTCACAAATCCAAGTGGCTCTGTGTCTTCAGCTGGTACGGTGGGAACTTTAAATATCGTTGTAGTCTCCGAGCTACCAGGCGAGTGGTTATGATCGCCATGCATGCACACATCACCACGCATGCCAACAAGGCCCTTCTTGCCTTTGTTGTGCACGCGAGAGTGAAGTATCATTTGACGGAACGTCTTGAAAACCTTTCCACAGTCTGGACACTCTTTGGGTCGCAGACATTCATTGGATGTGCCGCGCCTGTTCTGTTCCCGCAGGCTGACATCTACCTTTGAGGCATCTTGTGTAACCACAGTATTAATGGCTTTTTCAATAGCATCTGCACATACATCACCCACTGTACCAACTTGACTTTCATTGTTGTTCTGACAGGTTTTCTCAGTGACAGTCACCAAACAGGAGCCTTGGTTTTTACCTTCATCTCCCTTCCTTTTCTTACCACTTTGAGTCACTGTCAATGATGAGGAATCTGAGTCTTTGTTTTTACCCTTAAGCTTTGATTCGTTTGCATTGCCAATTATTTGCAATGACTCGCAAGACTGGGACGACGCCTCCTCCACATGTTGATATTGCCCCATTGGCTTAGTATTGAAGCTGGAATTTTGTATTCTAATTGGAGACAAAAAGGTGGTTTTGTCTTCATCCAAGTCCATACGTTTTCTTCTGGATCTAGATCGCCATCTATTTTTCTTATTTTGCTGCAAGGACATCAAAACCTCAATGCTTGTAATAGGATCCAGAGCAGAGTATGGATTGTTCTTAATGATTGGGGAAACAGCTTCTCGATGCGTAACTAGGCCAACGCATTCAAGAAAATTGAGTTTTACATCATTTGTCTCAAATCCGCTAACTGATGTCAAAGTGTTGTCATTTTTACGATGCGGTCTGTCCAAGAACTGCGTGTGAAGACTTTCATGAGTTTTCAAGATTTCAATCGGACACAAAAATCCACACACTGAGCACATCTCATAGGGCAATGGTGTTATCAACACTGCGTTTGGAGGACTGCCATCCTTTACCATGGCAGGATACACTTTTTCAGCTGCAGCCCTTGAAGTGTATTTTTTCTCATGGGTCTTCATATGCATTCTGAGTGTCCAGGACTCCTTAAAGCGTCGAGTGCAGATGTTGCAGCTATGGTCAAAGGTTTTCTTGTGAGTTCTCATGTGGGATTTAAGGTACCACAACTGTTGGAAAGTTTTCCCACAGACTTCACAGGAAATGCTTGTTCTCGACCCAGCAGCTCCATCGTGGTCAGGTGGGGTCCAGATGGGCACAGGTGAAGCATGGTATTTCCCAATGTGTGCCTTCATTTCATGTGTGGTTATGGATGTAAATGTACAAAACGTGCATTGCTCAGGTGTGTGATAAACTTGGCAGTGGCATTTAAGCTCTCTCGCTCTTTTGAAACCAATTTTGCAAGTTTCACATTTGTACTTTGCATCAGCATTCAATACAGGTTGGATAAGAGGACTGACTTCATCACTCAGCGTCTTAACCATCCCACACAATTTCTTAGTTTTTTCAACGTCTTTCATCCAAGTGTAAGGTTCATTGCAATTTGACGTCTCCTCACGTAATGAATTTTCTATTTGACTCAGGTGACTCCCGGCCATCTGATACAGACAAAGCAGCGGGTTCATTTTTGGCAAGATTGGCCGCAGACACTGTGCTGATCCAGCAACGGCCGCGTTGCACGCAGGTGCGTCCTTTGCGCGAGGTAAGATTGTTTGGGACTGTGGTCCCTCACCAGCAGGACTCCATGAACCAAGGCTGCTGCCCATGTCGCCTGTGGCGAAGGCCATGCTTGCAGCACTACTTGCAGCTGTGTTGCTCTCACACATCTGAAACATAAGACAAAACGACATGCGCATTGCACCCCCGTGTCGCAATGTTACCATTCACAAAGCCACAAACGATGTGGTCGGTTGAATTTATACCAGGATAACTCTTATCCGGGGTAATATTGGGGACTAATATCTGAAGATACTATTATCCGTGACTTTACTTCGCATACACGGGGTACAAAATCATGCATAACGAGTGAATAAAAGGATGAATTTGCTGTGCAACTCCTGTTATCCGCCAAACAAAATCAGGGGTGATAGAAGTCTTTAAATAGCAATGTGTCTCCGTGTCTTGCCCTGTGTCTCCGTGTTTCCCTATCTCCGTTTCTGTGTGTGGGGAGCGGTAGTGCAACGGTAAGCATTGCTGATCTATGAACCCAGCAATCTGGGTTCGATTCCCGCTCACGGCCAACACCAGTGACGATTATCTGAACCGGTCCTGGGGCTCCCCTCGGTCGACTCAGCTTAAAATTAGTACCTGGTAATAGCCTTAATAATCTGCTCAGACTATACAGGGCATCTTTGTGTTTGTGTGTATACCAAGGCCGTAATTATAAAATAATTCGAATATGCTCAAAATGTCCCCCCCCCCCAATATATTACTATAAAATAGATTTCTGTTTATATGATTGTGGTTATGGTTGTACTTTATTAATCCCTAATCTCTGCCATTACATACAATGAAACAAGAAAAGGTAAAAAAGTAAAAACAGAGCAATGTAATACAATAACACTATTAGACATTATTGTTAAAAATAAATAAAAAGTCCATTCTATGTGTTAGTCAATTTTTTTATATTTTAGGCAGGAAATTAGTTGTCAAATTTAGATATTTTTTATCCGGGGGAGGGACCCCCAGACCCCCTGGAAGATTTGGTTCCCCCCAATGTTGACTCCATGGACTACGGCCGTTGGTGTATACCCAACACATTTTATTCTGCTGTATGAAAATTAGCAGATATTTGAGCTGTATATGTAACCCTATTATTATTTTGCTCCGAGGGATTTTGGTCATGAAGCTGTCCCACACACGGACCCACCGCTGCTACCCACCACGCACATTCACGCCACCTCCACCAGTTTCCCACTCAACGCCCTCCCCTCTCACTCAAATCTCCTTGGCTTTAGCCCAGAGTTGCAAACAAGTTCTGTCTCATGGGAAATAAGTCATATTTAAAATACTTTTTTTTAAACACAATTTAATGAAATGTACCGTGCTAGTAATGAAAGAACTCCACGACTCCAGGAAGTGGTCCCGAAGTTTGCCACAACGTAAGGGACCGTGGCCAATTACAGTCAACGTCAGTGGACAATTAGACCCAAGCCGAAACATAACATATAAAAAATGAATGTTTAAAAATACTTGTTTTGATTTCTTTTGATAGAATATGGTATTGTCATCAGTATGACATAAGCATACCGAGTTTGCAGTCGATACCACATTGGGAAGCGGGTTAAAATTGAGTTACAAGATTTGAGGCTACGACAACAACACAGACAGCGAGTTAAATAAAAGCGTGTAAAAGTAGAGGCCCCGCACTACACTGGCGTTTACAACACACAACTCCTGTCCAGAGGAAGATCCTGAAGAGAGAGAGTGGAAAGTCAGAGGAGCTGAAGTAAACCGAGAGGTCTGTGGGAAAACGAATCGTACAATTTTGCATAATCGGGAGCGCTGCGACCATAAAAAAGTGC